AGTCTTTTGTGTTTCTGAGCTATTTTATGTACAATCTTTAAAGATGGGATGATCCTAGTTTTTTTACACAGAACCGCAGAGTATCTGGTCTCCCACTGTGTAGCTTCGACAGGCTTACTGTGAGCTGAACATGCTTGGGATGAAACCTGCCAAGGGAACTGGAACATTGCATTCCAGTTCGTGCATTTTTATGTCATGATGAAAAGCCACGTACTACCGTCATTTTCATAGTGTTATGTTCGGCTACAGTGGATTAGTCATTACAAACCATTGCGTCGCATGTCTGTCGATCGATGCCTTTCAGGCTAATGGCTGAGCGCTCGACAGTGACCTGGTATATGCACGTGGCTGTCACTCTACCCTCTACACATTGATTGTTTTCAATGACAACACGCCCGTAGCACGTTGTGGTGCGTCCCAGGGCTGTTGAGGCACGTTTGGCGACTGCCTCGTTTACTCAAAATTTACTCTGTGTAACCAAAGCGAATGAGCGATAAGAGACACAAAATATCCTGGTTCCTTCACTTAACGGTTTGCAACTGTGCTTGATGACTTGTCGTACAGACCTCGCAGTTGGCTTCCATTTGTGACCACGAATGTTACTGTGCCTCGGGATTGGGAAAACTGCTCGCGTGTGTTTCTTTGGGAAAGATGCTAAAACTGCAATGTGAAGGTAACTGGTGATCCGCACAAGTTAGATTCGAAAGATGTTGTGAATTAAGTAGCGCTGTTTAAGTTGGATCGAATGATATTAAGCACGAATGTATGCGGTGAGAAATGTGACAGTGAATTTGGACCGAGTGGGAGGCCAGAGAGAGGGGCGCGTCGAACTGATGCATTATGCAGCAGTGGAAAATGTTCACCGGTGTCCAGAGTGTCTTTGCGACTGATGTCTGCATCATGTCCATGCTAATACCACGACAGTAAAAAGAATCTCGCGTCACCCAAACGTGTTGCACTACGGTGAACCCCCATTACTTCGGGTAACACTAAACTCGACGGACGAGACTGAGGCCGTTCTACTGTCTGCGAATCGTCTCCGCAACGACTCAAGTGGAATCCGCATACTACCTGAAATTTAGTGGAAAGTACGTTCAGCGGATCTCAATAACAGAGAATAAAACAGAAAGGTCAAGATAAGAAAACTGTGATTGCTCACGGTGTTCCTGAGTTTACGGATTCCTCTTCCGACGATGCTCAGATGCACGACCGCGAGCAATGGCACTACATACGGAAAGCTCTTTCTCTCGAAAATGTCGTGGCCACCTCGTTGACAAGGATCCTCATATCACCAAACTATAAGGGGTGTGGTCCCAGGCTGTTGAAACTGGTGTTGCAATCAGAACCAACGGCACAAACTCTTCTAGATAACTGGACTAAATTCCGTAGCAAATTGCCAACAGAAATTCGTTTGAAAGCTGCAGCAACACCACCACCTTCTAATGAAAACTCAGTGGAGACCCAACTCTCAGTGAAAACACCAACTGTAAGATTGACCCGGTGACGGTTACAACAGTAATCATAATATCCGGAGGGATACAGCAGAGCACGAGGGAACATTGTGATCCGGGGCATCTGATACTTGAATATATACAGAATACGTCTCGAAAGTCTGCAACCCATCCAAAAAACCTTTAGCCGCCGACCTTACATCGGTCGGCGTAAACTCACTTGCTTCATCCATCCCATCCAACACACTTTTGATCCTCGGAAAACTCTCATGCATGTACACAAATGCCCAAGTTCTACTCAGCAAATTAGCTGAATTAAGACTTCGACACGCGTCAGCAGTTTGGGACCTCACCGCTATCACAGAAACATGGTTGTGCTTTGAGACAACGGACGCCGAACTCTCGCTAAGAGGTTTGTCCGTTGTCAGGAATTATCGAGCCAGCAAAGGTGGTGGGGTAGCCCACTACTTTCGTAACAACCTGCAGTGCGAACCCATAAACAATTCGGAAACCAATGTACCTGATTCCATTTGGTGCAGCTTCCGGGTGAGGGAACGATCTTGGCCTAGTGACTGTTGTTTACCGCCCACCATCGTCTACTCCTGAGATGGACTGCAACTTGGTGGCAGCGTTGAGGCAAGGGATAAACAGGAATTACAGTCACATTCTAGTCACCCGCGACTTCAACTTACATGTCTTAGAATCCCAGACCACACTAGGCGAGCAATGCGAAGCAGACCTGCAAGATCTAGTCTCAGACTTTCCGCTTTATGGCCACGTCACTTCGCGCACCAGCATCAGGGGAAATAACAGGCCATCCATATTGGACCGAATATTCACTAATGAAGAACTGATGATCGAGAGATTGATAACCGATACTCCTTTGGGCCGCAGCAATCATGCGACGCTAGTGTTTCGTTGCATGTGTTACGCGCATTATCTTAAAGAACATGCCGAGGAATATCATGTGGTAACCAACTATGACGACCTGTCAGACCTCATTGATGCAACCAGCTGGTGGTTCTTAGCCGAATGGACCCCTGAAGTGGCCTGCGGAGAATTCACCAACATATTTACCATGCTCGTGGCAAGCACATCTGAAGCCAAACTCTACCGGCCTAAAAAGATGAAGTCTTTCGTAAGGCGCAGGACACCTAACTGCATGGCATTAAGGGACTTGGCATAGCACACCTACATAGCCTCCCTTAACGACCATACCTGGGATGTCTACACAATACAAAGGAATCACTGTGTCAAACTCGTCCGGGAAGATAAGCTGAAGAACCAACAAGGCCTATTGGAAAAGTTTTGCTCCTATCCCAACTACTATACAGACACGTAAACAATTTGCGCCGTGTTAAGCGCGGTATTCTTGCTCTGCACACAGCATGTGGATTAGCCCAAACAGCACAAGAGGCGGCCAGCGTTCTTGGACAACAATTTGGCCGTACCTTCCAAAGCGTGCAATCATCATACATCCTGCCTAAGCAGATAACGCCGCCATCAGGGCTTAATCACATATCGTTTACCTCCGTAGCTGTACTGAAGAGGCTGATGTCTCTGCGCGAGTTCAGCTCCCCGGGTGCGGGCGGCATTCGCCCGACGGCGTTGAAAGTTGCTGCCATGAGTTTGGCAAGACCACTCGCAATTTTCTTTCAGCGATCTCCGAACGAGATGCAGGTCCCCACGATGTGGAAGCACGGAATCATCCCGCCAATCTACAAAAGTGGTAGCCGTGTTGAACCAACAAATTATCGCCTGATAACACTACTTCCTGTGATCTCCAAGGTTATGGAGTCCATTGTAGCTGAAGCTTTTATGGGGTACCTGCAGAACAACAAAATTCTCGTTGCGGAGCAGCACAGATTTCGCCAATATCGTTCCTGTACCACTAATCTGCTTACTGCTCGTGCAAGCTGGACGGAATGTGTGGACGCTGGTGTAGGAGTCGACGCGGCCTACTTGGATTTCTCAAAGGCATTCGACCGTTTAGACCATGAAATTCTACTCCAAAAACTCCAGAAATATGGAATCGGCGATCCTGTTCTGGGTAGGATAGGAGACTTTCTCGTGCAACGTCACCTGAATGTGAGGGTTCGAAGCAACCTGTCGGAATCCATCGAAGTTCAATGCGGCGTACCTCAAGGCTCGGTACTTGAACCCTGCCTGTTCCTGGTTTTCATAAATGATCTCGCGAGCGTGCGATCTTCTAACTGTTTGCTATTTGCTGATGATCTAGGGGTATGGCGTACTACTGCTGCAGTGGAGGATTACACAGCGTTACAGGAGGACCTGGACAAAGCGTGCACATGGTCCCTCGAGAACATGCTGCATTTCAACGTCACCAAGTGCAAAGTTCTCAGCATACAGCACAAGAGTACGCACAAGTACCGCCTAGGACCACAAATTCTACAGCGGGCTTCTCACGAGTGCGATCTCGGCGTGCTAGCTCAAGACGACCTCGGTTGTTTGAGGCAGACTGAAAAGGCAGCTAAGAAAGCGAACCAGTACCTCGGCCTTCTCCGCAGAGATTTCGGGAAGTTTGACCCTTCAGTCTTTTCAAAAATGCTTAGTGCGTACGTGAGGCCGCACACGGAATACGCTATTCAAGCGTGGCAACCTTGGCTCAAACACCATTTCACCGCGCTCGATACTGCACAATGTAGGGCAACGAAGAGCGTCAGAGGTTTGACCAACCTATCCTACCTACTCAGGCTGAAGACCCTCAAAACATACAGTGGACGTTATCGGGGTCTAAGGGGCGATCTCATAATGGTGTACCAGATCCTGAGAAACCCCAACCACCCATCCCATTCCCTTCTAATATTCGGTCAAAACACCCCGCTAAGTGGTCATCAGTTTAAGCTGGTCACGCAGTACGGTCGACTGGAATGTCGGCGAAACTATTTCTCCCTTCGAGTGTCACAGCCTTGGAACGCCCTCACGGAACATGTAATTAATGCACCCACCTTAGTCATTTTCAAAAAACGCCTTGGCGAAACTGTCACGTTTACACTACGTACTATAGCCCATGACCACCAAATGCTTACACTAATGCACAACAGACAGTGGATAGTGCCATAACTCTACTCGAGAATGAGTCACTCCAAACGCCTTGCACGAAATTTGATAAACGCTACTACTATAGAAACTGGATTTCAGTATCCTGTCGCCCCAAGATAGTTGCACACGAGTAAGCGTTGTCCGTGCTATCATTTTTATTTTTTTCTCTCACCTATTATGTGATCAATATCCGCTCCCCCTATTGCTTTGTGTGCGTACATTCTCATTTCAAACTCCCTTTATACGGCAATGCAGTTAAATCTGTAATCGCCCGAACCGACGATTCCATTATCCCTTGATCTATCTTTTCTCACTCTAACCACCCTACAGGACATGTCAAGCACCTGCTTTTTTACCCGTTATAAATCATTGTTCATTGTTCATGTCCCCGCTTTCATTAATATGAGCCTTGTTTAAGCTAACATACCCGATAATGTGTTTACGGTAACATTCATGTAATCGTCTTTTCATTTTTTCCTTCTCCAGGTTAACTAACTGGGAATGCTGACGAGCCTGCCCGAACTACGAGGGAATCCCGGGCCCATGACGTCGTCTACACCCAAGAAAACTTGTTCTGCTCTCGTCGAGTTGACAAACGGTTCAACCATGAACGGAGCGAATTATCCGGATTCGCCTATCGTGGCCGAGTCCCCGCATTCCCGAGATCACGCAATGTTACCGACACAGATATCAGACACAACAAGTGTGGCCCCTCATTCCCAATCGTTGGATCAGAATTCTACGATTCATCAAAGAGTGAACCAAAACGATGAAATGACGCCAGTGGAAGTCAAGTACTCACTGGATGAGGGGATGTCCGAAACACTCTCATCGATCGAAAACACTTTGGCCAACCGAGGTGATACCACCACAAATACTTCCTACGGCACAATAAAAAGACACGCAACTAACCAGAACAGTATTCTGAAGCAGCGGCTTCTTGCCGCCCTGGCTACTTTAATCCCACATCGAGAAACGCTGTCGCTACGAATGCTAGTAACTTACACAATCGACGATAAGGACAGCGAGTGTTTGGTGATCGATGAAACCTTGTGTCGTCAGACGTCACGACTGCAAACAAACAGTGAAGGACCTTCACTTGGTCACTCTTCGGATTCTGGTTGTCAGGTCGATGACAGTCCACCGGCAAGCAAGAGGCCTCGAACTGATTCACATCCGCTAGTGGACACTCATGTGTTAGACCTGTCAGTGCACACCGAACGTGATGAACAGGAATTAGCAGAAGCCATGAATACCGAACTTGACGAATCCGCAGACGAATCTAGCCACACTTCTCCCAATAGACCATCGCCGGATGCAGAACGGCCCACACCTAACACACATGGGAAATATCTTAACGCACCTGGTTCGATCGCCAAAACTTCCATACCCACTGGAAGCATAAATCCATTATTAATTTCTTCGAGTGCCGTAAATGGGAACGATTCAACCATTTTTACTGCATCCCCATTCCATCCCGTGGACTCATCTTTACTGACACTCTTACCACTACTTCAACAACAACTACCACAGTCCAACATCAGAGTGTTCGGACAGCCTAAGATTCTGTCTAATATCGAGCCAGTGGCGTCCATCACCACTAACAGTAACACCAATTCCAGTAACAACGCATCCACAAACAGTGCGATGCCCGCGGAGACTGCTGAATCTCTGCTGTTCAGAGAGTTACAGGCGCTGATTCGATCGAACAACTCGATGAATCGCCTCGTCCAAGAAGTTCCACTCGACTCTTCTGTACCCAATGTGAAGGCGTCAGAAGCTGCGGGCAGTTATATTGCTAGCCAAGCGATACCAAATCTACTGAGCTCTCCTTTGAACAATTCGTCACTGGTTGGGTTCCCTTTATTCAATGCGTTTTCTCCCGACCAATTGACAGCAGTGCAAGCGTTGTTGCCTTCTGCATCCCTTTTGAATAACGTTCTATCCGCACCGAACATCACCTCGTTGAACTTGGGTTCGGCCACATTGCTGAATCTTAGAGATAAGACCACCGGTCAAGAGACACTTGGGATCATGCAGGGGGCCAACCGGCATGTTACCACTCCAGTGACCAACTTACTGAACCATATTAGTTTCCCTCATGCTACCTCAATTTCTCTCAAAACGCTTTCCACCTTGTCCCAGCTGTTCACCAATAGCAGTGAGCAGAGCGCTTCGAAGCTGAGCGGATCACATGCTCAGCTGGGCTCAGTGTCAATGACAGGCGAGGGGAGGAACATAGCTACAGAGATGTTCCGTGTTTCAGAGAAGCGACACAACGATATTTCCGCTGACCCACTGGCCGTGACGCAGTCCGGCGAGTTACCACCATGCACGACCATATCTGTCGCTATTAGCCAAGAGGGGGGCAACGGCAAATCGAGTTTTGTCATTTCCGACATGCGTCTTCCACCCTCCACTCCAATCTCTATACTGGGCGGTTCCAATTCCCCCTCAGACTCGATCACCAATGGTCTATCGTCAAGCGCCTACGGGTCTAGCCAATTCATGTTCGGGCGTCGTTTGGCCCACACGCGTCGATTCACATGTAATCAATGTCGAAAAAACTTCGCTTCTTTGGCTGAGCTAAATCGCCACACTCTGGAGGCGCACAACTCGTTTAAATGTACCATTTGCTCTGCACACTTCACACAGCGATCCAACTTGCAACGACATTCGCTGAAGCATGTCGGATTCAAACCATTCACCTGCAATTTGTGCAGAAAAGAGTATTATCGGAAAGATCATTTGGTACGTCACATAGAAGTCACACATCCGAACCATGATCCGAAAATGAACATCACAGTCCATCTGACCTCGTCGGAGTGTTTAGACTACTTGGATCGGTTGAATGCTGGCAAAGAGACGCCATCACCAGAGGGATCGGTGTGTCAAGAACTTGGCCCAGACGCAGAAGTGTCAGAATTAGAAAGCCTAAAGATTGATGGGGCAGCTGGGGCTACGAATGATGGCGAGGAAGCCGAGTTGAATTCTGGAGGAGTACCCAATCCGACAACCGATTGACCTTCGATTGCTTTAATTTCCATCCGATATTCGCTCGAACAGAAAGTGTACAGTATTTCAATCACTTCATCTCTGAAAGCATATGACGCTCTGAGTGATATTTCACTGTCAACGCTTAAACAACAGCAACAGTTTGCTTACAGCCGGTTTCTTGTATACTTATTGTTTTAATTGACAAGCAATCGCATTTAAACAGAGACCACTTTTTTCCACTCCATTGTGGCTGTTTTGCTAAATGGCGGCTATGCATTCAATGCTAATTGCATGATCATCTAAAGGAGCATCAGGACGCTACCTTCGCCTCACACTCCATCTGGCTTATGGTGTTATACGGAACTGAGATCTTGTGTGACATTTTCCCTTGTATTTCTCTCCACTCAGTCCCCTTGTTGGAGTAGCGATCGATCTTCATTGATACTGTTACATGCCTCACGTGGGCAAATAGTCTTTGATTTCATTGCACTTCATTGGTTTGTGTGCTCGTATTGTCCACCGTCCCTTCGTGGTTCGTTGTTCGAGTGATGTGCACAGTAAAATTTTTGCAACTCATTCATAACAATTTTCACAGCACTTTTCGGGTTGTGCGCCACTTTTAAATCGGGTTGTCGTGCAACATCAGAAGTGCAAATTATAAGGGATTACTTGTGGTGTTTGTAAAGCATAATTCTCTTCGGAACTCAAAGCTTCGTGCCCACCATTGTGAGTGGGTTCGACGCAAGTGATGAGATGATGTTGTTCACATAAATTCGGCCTCAATTTATGAGCAGCACATTGACAGCCACCCCACATCGAATGTTTGGTGGCTTTTAGTGCAGTGCATTACCAAATAACCAATCCTCACATTGCAAGGGTGTTGAGACCGAAGAGCGTTTGTCATGTTCTTCGAATAAACCAGCTGCCGGAATGTCGTCTAAGGCCAAAGTTGAGGAAAGTTGTAATCTTGCGGATGGAGCTCTCATGGGCACGTACAGCCTTGCGTAGCTTAATAATGATTTTTCAGACCCGAAACACCTCGGTTGATATCTGTATGTTCATTGCTGGGCGACATGGATGTTGATCATGCTAACAACTTTTTTGCGTCTGGCAGACGATTCGTATCATGCGTATGGGTGATGCTAAGTTTGTTGAGATCGCGGTACTCACCACAAGGATGCCAGTATTTCCATTTCATTCAGGGATTTTGGTAAGGAGAGCAAAATCAGAATTTTAAGGGCTGTCTAATCACACCCATTCTTGGCACGCCTAAACACAGCTTGCAAATCCGTTAGTTTTAATACATGAGAGGGATTCATATTTTATCCGAGAGAGTGAGACAGCTGGACTTAAATCGAAGAAAATTGGACGAGACCTAGGGGAGTCCAAAGTCTCGGCTGATAGCTCATGTGACAGCAGTTGTGCCCTGGACACGCATCGTCGTCATAACGTCAAGTCAACATAGGCTTTACACACAAAGGGGCGCATTCCGATGATGGGACCAATACAAAATATATAACTGCACATTGCAAAGTTAAATATACAAAGAGGTACAAATGCCACTCAAGGAGCCGCACACGCAGTGTTTGCGAAATTTCTTGGGTCGACCAGAAAACGTGATAAATAAGGCAGGAGTGAAGAGTTTCGGAGCTACTTTCTGCTAACACTTCAATCCATGACCGAACGGTTTCATCCTGATTTAGACTCATCATGTAGAGATAGGCTGAGCTGAGAGGGGAGGACAACACAGTGCATAACGGCTTTCGTCTTGGTCACCAGGCAAGAGCTCCACAGCAGGGCTTGACGAAGTGGTTAGAACTTCATTATTGGCAATTGGAGTACCTTGTGTCTTGATTACCACACGTAAATCTCGTAAGAATGGGTTGCGATACAATAGAACAATGGTTTTATGCGGTTAAAATATCTAATGCCGAACTGGTCCCGTAGAATTGTTATAGTAAAACTACGAAATATGAAAAGATTGTTGGCAAAATTGTGTTTACACCAGTGAACTCACTGAAGTATAGGTAGTGTGGACTGTAAATTCAAGGTAAATCTATAAGAAATGATGACAAATAGGATGTTGGTAAAAATCGTGTCTCCTTCTGGTGTACACATAGAGGAGGTAAAAAAGATGGAATGAAATCTGCGCTTTGACTGCCAGTAAAATCGCTTACAGTCATTTATGTTTATCCATGGGTAATGGGTCATGTAAGATGGTGCAGCGAAATAACTGCATGGTCAACTCGGGCTTTGGACTCTGCCAGCGTGGGAGCTCATATGACAGATTCCGGTGGGGCATTCGACGTACGGCAAATGCGTACGAAAAAGAAATTCCGACGGCATTCCAAGCGACTGTGATGCTCTGCCAGTTTGAGATGGTGGCCACTCAAATTGCTGTTGTGACTGAGCTCTAGTAAGAAGCGGCACTTGTGGTTGGGATTTCTCAAAATTTGGTAAGTCAAAATGAAGTCCCCGCGCAATCGCTGATACTGTCTGCTGAAGACCCCGAGCACTTGTAGCCTTTGTTATTACGGTAAATTATACAAACCCTTGACATTTTTGGTTGCCCGGCGTTGGGGTATCTTCAAGGTGGTAAGATATCTCCTCAGCCATGACTGTCAGATCTGTATTGCGTATTCCACATGTGGCCGTATGTATGAGCCGAGAAGTTGTGGAAACATCGAAGGGTCGAGTCGTCCAAATGCACGTTTCAGGAGGCCCACGTGTTGGATGCCCCTCCTAGACGCCGTCTCAGCCTGCTTCGAACATCCTAGGTCGACCTGGACCAAAACTCCCAGGTCCTTCTCGCCAGAAGACGTTTGAAGCTTCTGGTTGCCGAGTTTGTAGGAGTGCACCAACTTGTGTCGTAGGTACAGCACTCTACATTTGTCCACCTTGAATAGAAGTAGATTCTGGGTTGACTACGCGTATACCCTATCCAGATAAGCTTGAAGTACTGTGATATCGTCTAGTGCGTTTATCGCCCTCTACACCTTGATGTCATCGGCATAAAGAAGACAGTCCGAGCTTATGAGGTGTGTGATATCTTTAGTAAATGTCAAGAATAATCGCGGTCCTATACCGACCCTTTTGGTACTCCACATTCAATTCGGATGGGATCTGACAGGGATTCACGCACACGTACCTCCAGCCGCTGGTGCAGAAGAAAGCTTCTAATCCATCCCAGGAGAGGATCACCAATACCAAAGGTCTGGAATTTGAAGAGCAGAATGTTATGGTTAAACCGGTCGAACGCCTTTGAGAAATCGATAAGGACTACATCGACTTCTGTGCCAGCGTCTACTGCTTCACTTCAGCTGGATCGTGCTAATTGTAGATGTGTATTGCACGATCGATTTCATCGGAAGCCATGCTATTCCGATGCGAGGTAGTTAAATTCTTCCAAATTAACTGTTAGCGCAACAGAAATAATAGTTTCCATGACCTTTGAAAGAACCGGTAGTAAGATTATGGGACGGTAGTTGGCTGGATTGGAACCACTACCTCCCTTATGAATAGGAGTGATCATCCCGTGTTTCCACATGTCAAGCACGTACATTACGTCAAAAGTGTATTGGAGGAATCGAGCCAAAGGCTTAGCTAAACTCTCTCCTACAGCGGCTAGCGATTTAGCGTGTATATTATCAACTCCAAGAGAGCTGTACTTGCGCATACTCAACGGCATTTTTAGTACTGCTTCTACTGTGAAGAATTTGTGAGCGAGTTTTGGGGGTAAAACAACCATCGTCATGGGGTTAGGTGCTCAGTGATCGCACTGAAGTATTGCAGCATATTGTAAGCGCAGGGTATTCGCCGCCTCCTTCGGTGTCCGTGTGGGTCCGCCCGCTATTTGAAGAGGAGGAATTCCCCGTTTCACCTTACGTATACTGTTGACGTGTTAATACAACAGCTTGTGGTTTGAGGCCATACGCACTGCCAACTCATGCTGGTACACAATTCTATCCTCGCGAACAAGCTGAGCACCGTGGTTACGTTAGGTCGCATAGAGCATCCAGTTCTCGGTGCTTGGGGAGAGTTTGTAGATATGCCAGACTGAGTTTCGCACCTTCATAGACTTGCGTGTCCTGATTCGCAGAAACGAGACCACATTTCTCGGGCGGAAGGTCTTAGTCGCTGACGCTTCGGCAATCAGGGAGTTAAACTGGCTGACAGAATGTTCCCATGCACTAGCTAGTGCCTCGTTTGCCAGAAATGTCCAGTTGGCTGTCTCATGTAGTTGAGCTAATATGTCGTGACGTACATACTTTCTCTTTGCGTCAGTAATTCGCGGAATATTTTTGCATAGGAAATGCATTCGAAGAGTAGGACTACATGATGGCTGCGGCCCAAGAGAACGTCGACCATCACCCTCTCGACCATTAGTTCTTCGTTGGTGAATATGCGATCCAGTATCGAATGCTTATCTTTTTCTCGGAATCGGGTGGGAGTGTCGATGAGGCCATACAGCGGGCAACTGGAGACGAACTCATGTAGATCGACCTTAAACTGTTCTCAGGAAGCTACTTTGGATTCGTAAGAGTGAATGTTGAGATAGCCAGTAATGAGAATGCGACTGTAAGTTGAGTTTATCACCCTCCTTATTGCGGATGCCAGATGGGAGTCCATCTCTGGCGAGGAGGAAGGAGGACGGTAAATGACCATCACTAAGCAACTGTCGTCGACTTTTAAACGTAGACGGCACCAAAAGGAATCTTGCACCGTGCTGACTGCATCCTCTAAGAGCTCACATTGGAGGTCATTGTTGAAGTAGAGAGCCACCACTACACCTTTGCTGGGTCGGTCTTGCCGAACAATGGACATGTCTGGCAGTGCGATCTGCATGTCACTTATGTCAGGGCGTAACCATGTCTTCGTTGTAGCGCTGAGGTCGCAGACTTTGGATCCTTGACGCAGCTGCATTTCGGAAAGTTTACTCAGTAAGCCTTGGGCGTTGGGGTACATACAGGAAAGCTTCTCGGACGTCAAAAGCTGTTGACTAGGAGCACATGAATGATGTGGATTTGTGCCGACCGATGAGATGCCGACACGTAATGGTTTTTTGGGTGAATTGCCAAATTTCGGTAGGAATGCGATCTATTCTTGGTCTTACTTGCACCTGCGGTATGTAGTCCATCGGCAGCCTTCTCGATAGCTACGGGTCTTAGTGGCCAGGTTTCTGAATCACTGTTGTGGTTATACTGAGTCGCGGGAGGTGTCGTTTCCGCGAGAACAGCGAGTGGCTGCGGCTCTCTAACTGCTGTCTTTAGTCGTAGTTCCGAAGGAAGTGTGCTGCGTCGTAACTGCCAGCTGCGGATTAAGTTCACAGCCATCTGTTGTGATTGCACCGTTAGTTTCAGTATCCTCGGGCCACTCTCTCTCTGTAGTTTGACGACAAGGGTAACCGTGTAATCGACAGAAGTATGAAGTTGCCTGCACAGAGAGCTTCATGGAATTAATGCTATTCTTCCAGGTCATGAGCGTGGGCCTCTTCGTTGTTGCTTGTCGGTAGCTCGGGCACGCCATGACTGAAAATAATTCTTTTTCTACTCTCCGTGTGGTGGTAGTTTGAATTATTTTTCTCCCGCTGGCGTTCGCTCCATGGAACATCCGGAAATATGCATATTCCACTGTTT